TGGCCCGAGTCTGTTGGCCGGAGGAGAAACGTCCGACCCCTCCACTCAACACTCTCTCGGCGGGGAAGAATTAACACCCCCGCACTGGCCCGCACTGCAAGGGCGCTAATGTGTGCCACAGAGTTGGTGTGTGCGAGAGAGAGAGAGAGAGAGAGAGAGAGAGAGAGAGAGAGAGAGAGAGAGAGAGAGAGAGAGAGAGAGAGGGAGGTACGCGCGCGCGGCATGTGTGTGTTAGTGCAGGGGGACGCCAAGGCGACAGTAGGGTCTTTACACCGACTGAGCAATAACACACATACCGTGCCATATGCACGGGGTCGCTGCCCCCGCTGTCGTCTCCCTCGGAGATGCACTAATCATTACAAGCCAACTCCCCGATGTTCACTTGTTCGCCGGTCCCCGAGGGCCTCGCCTGGCCTCGCCGTCAGCCTGACGGGGAGGGGGAGGCGCGGCCTCGCCTCTCCACTCTCTCTCTCTCGAGAGCACTTCATCATCGCGATTAAAGGGTCATCAGGACGCTCGATTAGGGCGGATTAGATTAGAGAGGACTGGAGAGGTCGCCGAGGCGCTGGCGTGCCCAGGGCAAACTGATTCCGAGAGCCGTTTTCGTCGCTCCGTCTCTCTCGCAAGGCGGTCCAGGTAGGTGCGAGAGAGACAGAGCGACGCCCAGACGACCGGTGGAGCCGGCCGAAACTCTAGACGCGTTTTGAGCTCCAGAGTCACTAAACAGGACTCGAACGGAACGTGTGACCCCACCAATGGATTCCTCGTTCGGAGAGCAGGGTCACACGTTCGGTTCTAGTCCCATTCAGCGACTCTGGAGCTGCAAGGGTCTAGACCAGCGGTTCTCAACCTTTCTCGGCTCGCGACCCCAAATTTGAAGCCAAAAATTTCCGCGACCCCCAGGAAAAATTTCGCGACCCCACGGGACCCCTCCTTTAACATGCCACGGTGTCTGATCCGAGGCGGGCATTTTGCTCCCTCAACGGGCAACTGGTCTTTGGACCTTCCTTTAGCATGCCTTTGTTACGGAGTGCAATTATCAGTCTTAGTTTGGGAGCAGTATTGTCTCAAAGTTGGCCAAAACGCTCAGAAATGTCTATGAAAAATCGTGTTTTGGGCTGATTTTAAGCAGCCACAGCGTCTGATCCGAGGCGGGCATTTTGCTCCCTCAACGGGCAGTTGGTCTTTGGACCTTCCTTTAGCATGCCTCTGTTACGGAGTGCGATTATCAGTCTTAGTTTGGGAGCAGTATTGTCTCAAAGTCGATCAAAACGGTCAGCAGTGTCTTTGAAAAATCGTGTTTTGGGCCGATTTTAAGCGGCCACTGCGTCTGATCCGAGGCGGGCATTTTGCTCCCTCAACGGGCAGTTGGTCTTTGGACCTTCCTTTAGCATGCCTTTGTTACGGAGTGCAATTATCAGTCTTAGTTTGGGAGCAGTATTGTCTCAAAGTTGGCCGAAACGCTCAGAAATGTCTATGAAAAATCGTGTTTTGGGCCGATTTTAAGCAGCCACTGCGTCTGATCCGAGGCGGGCATTTTGCTCCCTCAACGGGCAATTGGTCTTTGGACCTTCCTTTAGCATGCCTTTGTTACGGAGTGCGATTATCAGTCTTAGTTTGGGAGCAGTATGGTCTCAAAGTTGACCAAAATAGTCACAACGATTTTTCAAAGACACTTGCGACCGTTTTGATCGACTTTGAGACAATACTGCTCCCAAACTAAGACTGACAATCGCACTCCGTAACAAAGGCATGCTAAAGGAAGGTCCAAAGACCAATTGCCCGTTAAGGGAGCAAAATGCCCGCCTCGGATCAGACGCAGTGGCTGCTTAAAATCGGCCCAAAACACGATTTTTCATAGACATTTCTGAGCGTTTCGGCCAACTTTGAGACAATACTGCTCCCAAACTAAGACTGATAATTGCACTCCGTAACAAAGGCATGCTAAAGGAAGGTCCAAAGACCAATTGCCCGTTGAGGGAGCAAAATGCCCGCCTCGGATCAGACGCAGTGGCTGCTTAAAATCGGCCTAAAACACGACCCCAGCATCGCCGCGACCCCTTAAAAAAATTTCGCGACCCCGCTTGGGGTCGCGACCCTAAGGTTGAGAACCACTGGTCTAGACTTTGGGCCGCCTGCACCGGTCTTCTGGCCCACTGTGCCTCGGCCGCCGGAAAATGGAGTCCCTCTGGCGGCACCGCCTCGCCCCATGCCGCCCCTTGCAGTGCACCATCTCGGCGTATGACCGTCGGGGCCCCAAATTGCGGCGGGGAGCGCCAATTTTTCAGCCACGACGGCGGTGCTGCGCTGCTGGGGGAGGCAGGGCGGCGCGGCCGAGGCGCGGCGGTGCCGAAGGAGGGCGTAAAGATGGAGGAAGGGAAAGGCAATGTTTTGGGAGCCCGCACTCATCGTCTCCAGGGAGGGGGAGGGAGAGAGAGGGAGGAGGTGAGCCGCACAAGAAAAGCCAAGAAGATCAATAAGACGAACCGCCCAGCCCTCTCTCCTCTCGCTCTCTCTGCTCTATCTCTCTCTCTCTTTCTCTCTCTCTCTCTCTCTCTCTCTCTCTCTCTCTCTCTCTCTCTCTCTCCTCTCTCTCTCTCTCCCCTTTCGTCCGCCCTCCTTCCGCTACTACCGTGCAAGGTTTCCGCAGAGTATAGTAGTTGTAGCCGCCCCCGCCGCCCCCGCCGCCCCCGCGCCGCCACGGGCCGCCGCGCGCCGCCACGCCCGCCCTGCCACGCGGGCAGATCGACCGTATCTGAAACATGGCCGCAGAATCTTGCCGCCCCCACCACGACAAAGCAGGGCGGGGCGGGGCGGGGCGGGCGCCCCCACACCCCCGCGCGTGGAGCTTCCACCCCCGAGGGGCCCCTGCCGCCCCCACGCCCCCGCGACTGGAGAGGACCATGCACAAGTTTGTCCACCAGCTGCCTCGGCCTTTCCAGTGGCTGCCGTCTCCAGTGGTGCCGAGCTGGATCCGGGGGCGACGGGGCGGGGACGGGGGCGCGGCGGGGCGGGGCGGGGCGGGCGGGCGGGGCGAGTCACCGCGGCTGGACCACGACGACGACGGCGAGCACGGCGAACCCCCTCGCCGCCATCCCGCAAAGCCAATTCTTTTCACCTCAGCCAAAATCTTTTCTCCGTCTGCGCCTCCGCGCCGCGCCGGCGTCCCTTTCCCTCGTATTCATGCATTCTCTTTGAGCCGAACGCTCCAATCCACCACCCCCCGCGCGGACCCGCCCCGCCCCGCCCGCCCCGCCCCGCCCCGCCCCGCCACGGCCCCTCGCCTCATTCGCGATTCCCTCAAACTCAAAACTCCCCGACCGGGCTGGCTGCCGGCTGATTTAGCTAGCCCCCGGAAAAACAAGGGAAAACGCACACAGAACGCAGAATTGCGTTTCCACCGCGCCGCTTTTGAAAACCGACGGCGGCGCCGTCACCCCGGAGTCCGCGACGCCGGTCGACGGCCACCTCCACTGCCACGGCGTCTGTCTGTCTGTCTGTCTGTCTGTCTGTCTGTCTGTCTGTCTGTCTGTCTGTCTGTCTGTCTGTCTGTCTGTCTGTGCGCCCATTCACCCGACCGTCCGCCCGTCCGCCCGACCGGCGCGACGAAAAAAGCGAATAAAATAAAGAGGTTATTATTTTGTAAATCGAGCGCGTGAACACACCCCTCAAGTAGCGAGCGCTGCTCCCCAAACGGCAGTTTGATGCGAGTGGAGGGGAGCAGGGCAATCTGGGGCGAGGCCGGCGAGCCGAGGGACGTCCCGCCGCCGATGTCGTCGTCCGGGCGGGGCGGGGGTGTGTCCGCCAACCTAGCCCGGTCCGGCACACTGACTCCGAGAGTCGTTTTCGTCGCTCTGTCTCTCTCGCACTCACGGGGCGTCCCGTGTAGGTGCGAGAGAGACAGAGCGACGAAAACGACCCTCTGAATCAGTCCACTGCGGACACGGACACCGGGCAACGAGCGTTCGGAAACAGATTTGAACCGCTGCAGCAGCAGGTTGTTGTTGTTGTTTGCGGGGAAAAGAGCAGTGCACCCTCCGCGGCGTGAAAAGAGATCGCCAACAACAACAACAACCTGAATGGCGCGCGAAACTCACACCGCGATCATGAGCTGGAGAAACAATCGGTCCAGATGTGAGGCGACGCGGTGGCTGCGCACACTGCAAGGCAATGCACTGCGAGGCACTGCACCCATTCCGGGTAATATCGCAATCTGTATCCGGCAAGGGAAAGGCCATTTCGCGACTTGAATTCGGTCTGCCCACCCAGATGTCGAGCGACACGAAGGGTTGCTGCACTTGGAGGTCTGCGTCCAGTTTCGGAACGGACATCAGGGTAAGGACAACGCGGGACACGTTGGAGCCTCGAAATAGGGCGGGTACCAATAAAGGGTCGCAACAATGGATCACCTACACCACTGTCTTTTCGAACAAACGGGATACCACTGTCGTTCAAAGAGCAGCAGCACTCCGTTTGGACCATCATGAACATGACTTGTCGGTCCTCTGGCCCACAGCGTCGCACCGGCGAACTTGGCGGCTTGGCTTTTGGCCGCCGGAACAACCCTACACTCCGCGGAGGCCATGAAGCGCCCCTTCCACGACCAACCCCGACACGGCCAGTGCCTCTCACTCCGTGGTGCAAGGTGGTGGTGGTGATTTCCAGTCCACTGTCAGAACCTGTCTGTCTGTCTGTCTGTCTGTCTGTCGTCTGTCTGTCTGTCCGTCTGTCTGTCTGCCTGTCTGTCCGTCTGAAGGCTACTCGCGCCGTGTCCGGCCGTGGCGCTGCGCCCAGCCACCCCCGTGCAGGGCTGCGCTGTGCTGCGCTGGGCGTGACCGTGGGGGTGGGGGTTGGCCGACCAATCCGCAGTGGGCCGTGGCGGCGTCGCGCCCACCCGGCCCCGCCCCGCCGCCCCGCCCCGCCCCGCCCCGCCCCGCCCCGCCCCGCCCCGCCCCGCCCACAAAGCTCGTCGCGGGTACGAAGCGCTGTCACTCACTCACCTGTTGATGGAGGACACGGAGGGGACGTTGTCTTGCGAGCAGATGCCCTCGGCCAGCAGCCGGTCCCGGATCTCCCACGCGAACATGGTCGGGTTCTCCCGCTTGTAGTTGGCGATGGAGTCCACGACGGGCGCCGTGGCCACCTTGGGCTTGGAGCCGCCTATCACGCCCGCCTTGAAGCTGCCCGTTTCGTAGTACCTGCAACACAACGGGGACAGTCAGTGGACGGGAGAGAGAGAGAGAGAGAGAGAGAGAGAGAGAGAGAGAGAGAGAGAGAGAGAGAGAGAGAGAGAGAGACGGGCGGCTTCACACCTGATTTTGTGTGTCGGCGAGACCGGGGGTAAAGAGCAGACTAGTGGCTGGGCTGGCTGGGTGGCGAGCCGACTCAGCGCGTCATTAGGGCTAATTATGTCAGAGGGGCATATCGCACCACTTCCCCTTCACACACACACACACAGATTTGAGCGGCACGAGTCGCACAGTCCCCGCTTTGTCTAAACGACCCATCGCCGCGGTCCCCATTGGTGCCCATGCCGCCCCCCTTCGCCGCCTCCGCTTTAGAAGTGCCGACTGAACGCGCGCGACACTGACGCGTCTTCGTCGACGCGGCGCAATAAAAAAAAACAGTCAGTAAATCAGCGACTTAGTAGCAAGACGTGTCCTTTCATTTTTCGCACAAGCACTTTGGAGGAACTGTTGCAGCGACTTTGGAGCTTGGTGACTTTCGAACTTCAAGTGTCTTTCACCTGAAATGCACATTGGAGCGACTTCGGGAAATTCCTCAAATTTCTTTCACCTTAAATGACCTTTCGAGCGAGACTAGGTGCTTCCTTAATTTTCCATCACCTTACAATGTCGAATAATACCAATTTCACCACACTACAGTCAACGCGTCGGTGCGACTATTTGCATGGCGCAGTTAGCCACGTAGCATCTAATTGTCGCGTTTGCCCCGCTTGGCATTTGAATGAGATGGTTACCCGCACAATATAATACAGTGGCGTTGGTGCCCCTGGCGGAGCTGGCGGCGCTGCCAACCTGCCGGCCTGACTGCCGCGACGCCGCGACCGCATTGCAGACATTTTTGATCGCCGTTCCGGTGGCTGACAATTAGAACGGCCCCACTGTGTCTGTTGGTTCAATTCGTTCTGTTGGTTGGCCGCCCTGCTCCGCACCGCTCGAGCTCGCCACTGCTCGGCCGAGACACACATCCGCCCCTAACGAGTGCCCGGGTCACTCGGGCCTGGCGACACGAGCCGTTGCCCGATTCCGAGAGACGACGCTTTCCGTCGCTCCGTCTCTCTCGCACTCGAGGGGCGTCCCGTGTAGGCGCGAGAGAGGCAGAGCGACGAAGACGACTCTCGGAATCTAGTCTGCTGGCGACAAGAGCTGGGGAAACAACGACCGGGAACGAAGCGCTGCAAACGACGGCGCTGCCAACACCCGACAAAAAAAAAAAAAAAAATGACGTTTTAAAATAGAAACGGAATTTTCCTGTCGCCAATCTCTAAGAGAAAATTGGATGAAGAGCACCAACCCTAACCTAACCTTACCCATTGTTTCGATCAGTAAACCGCATTCTGATTCCGAATTTCCACAAACGTCTATCCGACCTTCCCGCCTATACAACTTACTCATGTAGAAATTCATTTCCCTTGCCAATTTTTTTGTTTTTGTTTCGGGTGCAGATGGACATACATCATGTCCTACATGAGCAGGGCCATGCGTCTTGGCCGCGTCTCAGTAGGTGGCCGTCCGACCGCGGCCAACGCAGAGGGCCCAGGGGGACCCAAGGCGATGCGGATTTAGGATCTGGCCGGGGGGGGGGGCTTATTCGTCGCCATATAACTCCACAGGTCATTTCGTACGTAATTTTCCCCCAAGCACGTGGCTCCTCCTCGCATTAATAAGTCTGTCCGTCGCGTACGGCGGCATTTTGCCTTTAGCACCTGTCTAATCCTAATCTCACTACATGACCACAACCACGTGTTCACACACACACACATAGACACACACACACACGTGCCAGGGCCAAATGGGCACGTGCAGCGGAGGGCGGCGGACGTGGTGCAAATTCACTTGCCCAACAACACCAGTGGCCACTCATCTCACTAATCCTCCGACCACTGTACCAACACTCACACACGCACACAGTAGGCAGAGGCGCTGATGGGGTGCGAAGAGACCGATACGATCGCCGTGTGTGCGCTCGGCGATGGGCCGTGGACGCCGCCCCATCTGATAAGGCACCCCGTCAGCCAGCCCAGGCAAAGCCAGCCGAGGCGCCGTGCCGCCAGCGCCAGCTGCCGGTGTCGCCTTTGTAAAAGTGCCGCCCTGGTGTCCCCGGGGTGTCCCCCCAGTCCCAGCGGGGGTGGCCTGGTGCGCGGCGCGGTGTCCGGGGCCCTCGTGGTCTCGGCCCTGGTGCCCGCCCATGGTGGCCCTGGTGGCCTCGGCCAGTACCCCTCCCCCTCCCCCCTCCGGGTGGGGCCACGGCGGGAAGCTTTTGCTGTATATTTCAGGACGGCCCTGTCTCATGCACCCGACCAATACGGCACTCGAAAAATGGAAACGGCGGCGCGGCGGGCGGGTGTTTGAACCCGGGCCCCGCGGCGGGCGCGCGGCGTCGAGGCGGGTGGCGCGAGGCCCCCCGGCGCCCCCCTAGCGCACACATGGGCGCTATGGCCCGTGACGGCGTGGTGTCACGGTGCGTGCGGCCGGCCTGCGCCTCCGTCCGCCCGTCCGTCCGCCTGTGACAAAATCTACGGCATGCGCGCAACATATCTTCACATCAAGATGAATGGGCCGAGCGGCGTGCAGGTCGCTGTGCATCTCGGAGTGTTTACACCGTCGCGGTCTGCGGTTCGAATCCCGCCGCCGCCGCCGGCAGTCTCTCTGTCAGTCTCTTTTTCTAGACGGGGCAACACTCCGCGCGGACGGACAAAATGCAGTGTGACTCGTAAAAGCGAGACGAATCGGCGAAGACTCGCCGCCCGTCGTTACGCGTTCGACAGGGCCGCGGCGGCACGCAGACAGACAGACGGACGGACGGACGGACAGACAGACAGACAGACAGACAGACAGACAGGGAGTGGAGCGCCGCAAACTGGACACAAAGTACACGCGTGCGTATTTATGCGTGGTGAACCTCTGCTACACAACGGACCGCCACTTCCGTACCCTCGCTGCAACCCTTGCTGCCTGGCTGCCTGCCTGGCTGCCTGCCTGGCTGTCCCGCCCGGCTTGGCCACCCCCGGAGCTTCCACCGCCGAAGCCCCATTCAAAAAACAATAAGTGGCCGAGCGGCCGCCACACCCATAAACATGATAAGTTTATTATTTCCCTCTCTCTCCCTCTCACAGGGGCGCCCAGATTCAGGCACATTCGCCCTCCTTCTCTGTCACAGAAGGCCCCGAGACCGCCGGCCAACGAGAGAGAGAGAGAGAGAGGAGTAATTCCATTTTTGCAAAGAAATCTGCAAAATATGCAGGGTGCATAAATCACACCCCTTCTCTCTCTCTCTCTCTCTCTCTCTCTCTCTCTCTCTCTCTCTCTCTCTCTCTCTCTCTCTCTCTCTTGGGAGGCTTGACCAGGGTGACCGGGGTCCTGCGAGGAGTCCCTATGTGCGTGGGCAAGTACAGTACCGACCGCATTACAATGAAACACCCATATTTCAGCCCGCAACGCCCAGCGGGGCCCGCCGCAAGGCCCACACACACACATCCTTTTGTTTCCGCGAATTTTCTTTTTCGCCTTTTGCAATTCATATTGCGATTCAGGCGCGCGGATGTAGCAGGCAGCAGGTCCGGCCGCATTCTCTGGTGTAGTGTCCGCGCGTTTTGACCCTTTCTCAGCGTTGTACTTTGCTTGGGCCGCGGCGTGCGGTCGTTTTCGCGACCGCGGCCGCCCCGCCCCGCCCCGCCCCGCCCCGCCCCGCCCCGCCCCGCCCCGCCACCCGCCCCGCCCCGCCGCTCCCTCCGCGAGCGACGCTCGGTAAATGGGTTTATCTCGTCGCCGGCCTGTGATCTGTCACTGGCCGCGTGCGCGAGCCGAGTAGTCGCTCACAGAAACATCGCTGCAAAATATTATTATCATCATATCGACGGGTTGTCCCTTTTTATTTTTTTCCCCCTCGCCCATTGAGACTTTTGCTACTTTCCTGCGACCGGAAGTCCATCAAACGATGCCCGGCTTGACCGGAAACGCGGAGAAGAGTCCGCGGTTACGACCAGGGGCATTCATATGCGACGACCTGGCATGTGTTCAGCCAAAGAGGCTCAAAAAGGAAAGAAAAAAAATCGAGAGTGGGATTTGAACCCGGGCCTTTACAAAGTAAAAACAAAAAGTGTGTTGGACTCACCTAGATAGTATCTTGGAGACACAGCCGTGAGACACCCTGAGTTGTCTCGAGATGTCGCAGGGCCGCACCCCGTTGTGGGCGAGCTCCACTATCCTCTGCCGGACCACGTCGGGGAGCGGCCGCCCGTTGACGAACACGCCGCCCAGCTGGTTGACGCCCCCGTGACCTGCGGGCAACAACAACAATGACAACGTGCTGGTTGACGCGCATGTGACCTGCTGGTTGACGCCATGCGATGAAAAACAACAACATTGACGACTAATGCCCCAGGCAACATGCTGCTGGTTGACGCTCCGGAGCCAAAGATCAACAACAGCAACGACAAGTAGCCAAGGCTGCTGGTTGACACCCCTGTGCGTGATCTAATGCGATCAAAAACAACAACAATGACACCAAGTTCCCCAGGTAGCACGCTGCTGATCCAGACAATCGAGGTGGGATTCAGCGAAGGATCTGGAGGGGATTTCGAAGCGGATGTTCCCCGCTGCCCGGCCAGAAAGTGGGGTAGCGAGCGAGAGGGGAGGCACTGCGCCAAGAAGGAGCGGGGGAGCGCAGGAGAAAAAAAATTGCGTAAGCACATCAGTGCGCATTGACTTGGGTCCAGGAAGAAAAAAAAATGATAATAAAAATATTAGGGCCCTCTGGTGCGGTGCTGGTCGTCTCCAACAAGTGGGACTCGCGCTTGGTTCCACCCCAGTGCACCAGAGTGCGCTACAGTGCGCTACAGTGCGCTCCGCGGCACAGCCACGCCAATCACAGGCCGCATTACCATAATACGCACGCCATGCGGTGCCATGCGGCGTCATGGGGCCGCACCGACGAGCTTCACACTCCAACACCCTGCCCTCGGATTCAGGACATTCAGCAGGAATGTGCACCAATTTTAAGAAAAGCCACACTCTAAAAGTACGTAATGCAAAAAGCACGTAGGCGCAAAATTGAGTAGACCTTGCATGGGAAAATACGTCACAGAACAAGGTATCTTGTTTTCAGCGAGCACGGTTCAAACTCAGAAAAACAAAAAAAGTCCGCTTCAGGAAATTGGCCAGTGGGTGGTATCGAACCCGAGACAATTAGCTCTCGCTGATGGTTCTCGGGAGAGCCTCGCAGCAGAGCGGGGCTTCCCTCCCTTCGGCGCCCTCGCGGCGTGCCAGTGGCGTGCCTAATGCACGACCGGGCATAACGCCATATAAAAAGACGCGCGGCGCAGCAATGTGGCCCTGCTTGCTCTGCTGGTGTGGGAGCTGCGGTGGCTGCAGCACGATAAATGACACAAAAAGTAATAACAAAAACAACAACAACAGAGCTGCCGGCTGGTGCCGCCCCTGTAGTGCCCGGACTTCCTGCACGCGTCCTCCGCCGCCGCGCGCCGAGAGCGGCCGAGAGACCGCGGGCCGCCGTGGTGGCCTTGTTCGCGAGCAGCAGGGAGGCACACCGCGAAAAAACGAGCCCGTCGCTCTGTCTCACTCGCGGGGCGTGCCGCGGGTCCGCAGGGGTGCGAGGGGGACGACGGTACCGTTCGGGCCGCCGCTGGACTGGAGGCACAGGAGCTGCTTCTAGGAGAAGGCGGTGCGCCCCAGCTTTCCCGCCACACTGGAAGCGTTTCGAACGGCGGTCTTGTTCGGGGCGTAGAGCTCCGCAGTGTTGCCGGTCATCGCTCCGTCTCTGTCGCGCCCCTCCGGCGCGGCCCGCGAGTGCGAGAGAGACAGAGAGACCGCCGTTTGGACGCTGGCCACTAATGCCGCGCTCCTTGTTGATATCGCTTCGAATAAGTCACTTCATTTTTTCCCCCGACGCTCCCCAAGTGCCGTCGCCGAGCCCGCCATGGCCCGCCATGCTCTGGCCTGGCCTGGGTGGCGGCGACGGCGGCGAGGCGCGTGGCGTCCTGGGGCAGTAATGGATTTGTCGGGGCGAACCCTCCCCCTCCCCCCCCCCGCCCGGGCAAAGGTCATCGGATGACGTACGATGTTTCGCAGACAACTACCCCCGCACGCTAGCACACTATGAGGCGATGAGAAAATGATGATGATGGCGGCGAGGTTGTGATTGGGGTGACTGTGGCACAATAATAATAATATCTGCGAAACAACCGAGAGCAGACCGACTGCCTTCTGGGGCGCTAGCAGGGCCTGGTTCGCACTCATTCACTCCTCTGAAAGACACTTTGACTCACATGGGGACGCCGCCAAAAACGTTTCGTGACAGTGGGGTACCCATACTACTCGCCGTCCGAAGGACAGCCCTTAGAGTCAGTCGGGCTCAAGGGCCTCGAACCTTTTGCATGGCTTCTCCTGGGGGACCATCGACCAGGAAACAATCGGCCCTACATTGGAAGGCACCCCACGGCACGTCGTGATCTCTCTTTCGGCAGTCGAGGACGATCTTTGCACGTACGTACTCGATCCTATCTCGCCGGCCCACTCGGTCTGCGAGCCCGGCAGACTGGGAGTCGTTCTCGTCGCTCTGTCTCGCTCGCACACACGGGGCGTCCCGCATGGGAGCGAGAGAGACAGGGCGACGAGGACGACTTTCGGTCCGCAGGCAGGCAGGCGGGCAGGCAGGAGGCAGGGGGCTCCCCTGGGAGCGGCCGGGGTCGCTTGCCGGGCAAACCGGCCTTGGGGATCCGACCCTCATCCCTCGGGATCCTCCCCGCCCATCCATCTCAAAGGGTAGTGGGGTCGCCGGACGACGCGGCCGGCGCGCTCGGATTGTTTTTCTTGGGCGTTAACGTGTTGTAATCCACCCGGCAGCACATGTGGTCATTTGGCTCATTTGCATCGATAGAGGAAATTCCGCGTAAAAAACGGGGAGGATTATCTTTAAGTTGGCCTTAAAGCACTGCCACTCGCACTATTCGAAAATTTGCTGCAACCTTTTGACAGAATTGTTGACATGTCGATAACATTTTCATCAAAGCTCAGATGCTTATTGCATTGCATGGGCGTGACAACAATGTCATGGTGTGATGACTTTCTTGTAGAGGGAAAATTAGCCTTGACATAGTCATCAAGTGAGAGCCAAAATTTTCACAGTGCACTCGGCGGTGTTTCAACGGCAAACCGCCAAACAACAACTTTCCTTTTGTCACTGGTTCTTTTCTCCAGGACGCTCCCCGGCCACGGCCAAGGGCACGGGCATCCATCGTCTGCTTTTCCGCGTTCCTGGGCCGCGCCGCCCCCAGGACGCTGCCAGGCCCTTCCCCGCCCCCGCGCCGCCCCCACGCCGCCCCCGCCACTGCAGCAAGGGAGGCTCGGCACTCCGCCACACAGTCATGGCAAATTATGGGAGTTGTGGCAGAACATGACAAGTAGCAGACTCGCTAACACACTCTCGCGAGGACCGGGTAGGGCGGCGGGCCGGCGGCCCCAGGCGGCCCCTCGCGCGCCTCCCCCTACAGCGCCGCCACCGCCCTGCGATCACTTCGCCATCTACTTTCGGAAAATAAAAACGCACGAAAAATTCACGTCGGCTGGCTCGCTATTGAATCGTGGCCGTCAAAGAACTTGGCGATACAAACGTGTCTACTTTCAACAGTTTGCAACTTGAACATGCCTCTTTTCGGTTAAAAATTGTTTTCTATGAAGTTTTGTTTGCATACCACGGTACGCACTTTTCAAAACGTACCTGGTCTGCAAATTGCCATTGAATTTCGGAAGGCCTATTCGCTTGTTCAGGAGAGCAAAGGCGACAAAGTCGGTCAAATTTCTGGCGCTGTCGTCCGCCCGTTTTCATCATATTAGGGGGTGGCGCTGACTGACCTACCCTAGACGGCCGCCAGACGCCACATATGTTGCGATCCAGACCTCTAATCCGATTACGACACCAGAGTGGCTGTAGAGTGGTTGGATTTGTCCCCCATCGCCAGCAGCCCGGCGAGCCAGGCCCTGCCAAGCCCAGCCAGGCCCCGGGCGACGATGATGCTCATTGGCCCGTCATCGCATCGGCATGAAATGCGCGTCCAAATTCGTGTCGAATTCGTGAAAACGTTCGCGTCAACATTCGCGAATGCGTGCGTAGAAGCGGCTGTACAATAACAAAAACCCACTTTTTCCAGAGAAGAAATTATTTTTTTACGCGGTTGTTTGTTTAAAAATTTTGCCGGCGGGGAGTGGTGCGGTGCGCGTCGTAATCCTTTTACCGGCAAGTGCCTGCACTGTATGGGCTGCCAGTGGAGCAACAGAGAGGGGGACGCACGCTGCGCCGCCAGTCGCGGCGAATCATCGTCATTACAATCACCGCCGGCATCTTCAACCCCGTCTCCTGCACCGTTATCTCGGCCAATCTGCCACAGGCAGCAACAACAACAATAACAACAACAAGGGGTGCGCGAGTGGCTGAGTGAAACGGAGGAGCGGAGCGGCAAAGTGAATTTGTTGGCCGATAAGGTCGCCGAATTTCCGCGTGTTGCGCTAATAATGCCTTGTGACAAACAATGCACCGGCGTCCGAAATTCGTCGAATTTTCGCGTCAATCAAGGAAAGAGTGGTTGCGGCCGCAACGAGTATCGCCGTCGGAGGCGACCGGGATTTACAACGGCACAGCAACTAAGAATGATTCGAAAGTGGAACATGATCGACAGCGATCACACTAAATTCCTCTGAGTACAATTTTTGTAAGTGGTCCTGCACGATCTAGCGCATACGTGCTTTTCGTTTAAATTGTCCGCGATTTCGCATGATCTTGTGCGAATCCGCTTATAAATTTGTGCGAAAAAGTTCGCAGCTTTAAAATTGCGAACGAGAGCAATTAAAAAATTGCACAAATACATAGAGTGGTCCTTTTAACATCGAAATTTTGTGGCGAAATCGTTCTGTAACTTATTCGACAGGACCGGAGGGAGATCGCAATAAGATCTCCGCTTCTCGCGAGTTGAAGCGGTAGAAGTACATTTCTGCACATTTTTTATCGGCTGTGCTGCAGTGGTGAAGCTTGCTTAGTTCTTTACATTCATGGACAGCGATTCATCTAAATTATTTTTATTCGTGTAAACTTTTTGTTAAATAGAAATGCTTTCTGTATCAGTTTCTGTTTAATTTAGGAATTTGTACTCGGGTTTAAGAGCGGTTCCGCGGCGACCTCTCACGTTAGTCCTTTTACTACACTATAGCTTGGATTTAATGAAACACAATTTTCGAAATTTTGACGTCAAATCGATTGTAGATTTGT